TGAAATACGCAAGAGGTAGTCCAAACCCAAACACCCAACATGAGTTATTGGTGTTTAATTACTGAGGCAGTTAAATAGTGCTGTAAACGAGTCCATCTCTGATTGCAGCCATAACCCATGCAGTTTGGAATTGAAAGAAGGGATGATAAAAGGTGGCAATATAACACAAGAACGTCCATGAGTTGATTTTAATTGGTAAACTGGCATATATAGTGATAACTGTTTGATCTGTCCACCGCATTGGAATCTTAAGGAAATGCATAAAATTACAGGAGCATATAATTGGTGCACTAAACTCATTTTCTTATGTTATCACAGCTGGCATCCTCAGGTTATTAAAAGCCTTTAAACCAGTCATTTTCAAAGAGATCTAATTGTCAATATGGTCTTTATACATTATTCCTGTTAGCACAGAGCAGAAGAGATATAAACAGCCACTAAAATCTGCACAAATTTTCTGGGCATGCCTTTCTTACTTCAAGTTCAAGGAAGGTCAATAAATGTTAATGAGGATAAAAACCATTCTTTAGATCCTGCTTTCCTCATTCAGTGCACAGGGAAATCAGACTGTAAAGGATAAACTATCAATATTATAACCTCAACCAGACTTTTAAAAAGTTAATTCATTAGTTCCAGGAAGTTTTGTGATCTTTTTGTGTATAGGTGGCTCTCCAAAATCCCAACGCATAAATAATATATCTGATCCACAAAAAATAAGCTTAGGTTCTGACATTCTTTGGTGCGTAATTGTATGTTGATCCATCTACTTATTCTGGCTAGATAACTGAGGAATACTTCTAGAAGGGTTTTCACACTCTGGGCACCATTCACCCACCTACCACCACACACCCACGAAGGAGATTTTTCCCAGTAGGAGAAATAGAGTTAATAGAACAAAGCAAAACAAAAGGAAAAGCATCGTCTTCCTCTCCTATGGAATTCTACAATAGGGAAAGAAATCCCCAAGCACAAACAGGTATGAAATAGGAAGACAAGATATGAAAAAAGGTAAGGTGATATCAGCCTAACATTAATAGTGATTAAAGATTGACTACAGGTTTGTCATATATGAAATCTGTGTTCCTTTAAATCATCCTGCCTAGGAGTACAAATGGTAGTGAATTGAAAATAATTAATGGTATGTATTATCTTCTCCAATAGGGTCTCCATCTCTCCTACTTATTTCTGAGACGTCTCTGGGTATATATTTTTTCCTTAAAATGTGACCACTCAGTCTGCATTGATCCCTTCAGCCTCTGCTGGTCATTTTGGTAGAAGGTGCCTTTCCTCTGGTCTATCTGAGGCTTCCTTGCATTGGGCTGCTGCTTTCTGTTGCATTCTATTGTCATGCTGGACCCCTCATGCTCTTGGAGTCATTTACTGCACTGAAACTGTACTAAGGTCCATATCTTTTGTGTCCAATCATATTTTTAGCTGAGAAGATGAATCTATAGGAGGCTGTGGTAAGGGACAGATTCAAGAGACAAATCCTATGCTGAACTTGGTACCATCCAGAGGCCTCAGTTTCCACTAGGAAGAGTTCTCGACTAGGAGGCCTCCTAGTCTCTAGTGTAAACAAACACATCTCACTGGTGCTCTCAGCATATTTGAATCCCGAATGCAGTGCAGCTTGGGCTGTAACTGGAGTCTGACCTGGGTATGCATATATTTGACCTCCAGATCCTTTTCTCCACCAGATGATGACATTTCTTCCAAACCCTGACTTAGTCTCCAAATCACTGATCAATAGCTTGGTCCCAGCTGCATATAATCCAACACAATATATAAACACACATATTTTATATATATATTTATATATTTAACCCATTTATTTTGAGAAAGAGTGAGAGAGAGAGAGAGAGAGAGAGAGCAAGAGCACCCCAAGTGGCAGAAGGGCAGAAAGAGGGAGGGAGAGAGAGAATCCTAAGCAGGCTCGGTGCTGACAGCAAGAAGCCTGACACAGGGCTTGATTTCACAACCCATTGAGATCAGGACCTGAGCCAAAATCAAGAGTCGGGACGCTTAATCCACTGAGCTACCCAGGGGCCCCTACAATATATTTGAATGTGAGCATGGTTTATTTGTACATACTGGTCAAAACAAAGTATTTATTTACTGCTCTTTAGTTACAATGTTAGGAAACTGCCATTGCACACACTCCAGTGTGAAATTTCAGTAAATACTTTTTAGTGCCTATGTGCAGGATTATTTTAAGCTCACTACATTTTAATGTTATTGCTGCAGTTACAAGACATCAGCTACCAATTAGGATAATGTTTTGTTTACTTTATATATCAAGAAAAGAAGCCATTAGGTTAAAATTATCTACTGTATCTCAATTACATTGTAATAAGATATTTACCAATATCTTTCAGGATAAAGTCTGGAATAAATCAGTTAATACTCCTGATAATTTTAAGATGAAATAACCCTTTGTTCTCAAATTTAAATACTTCACATTTTTAGTATGTTTGTGAACTAACAATAGAAAACCAAATTCCAAAACAATAGTGTTTTCCTTACTCTAAAGAATTAAGAATTCAGGCCGAACAAAGGGCAATACCTTCAGAGAGTACATAGCTATTGATTTTGGCCTGCTGTGACTCTGGAAATGTCCCATCAAATAGCTCCTGCAGTCATATTTAGTCCCACTGTGAGCTTTGCTGAATTCTCCCTGCCTGTCCCTTCCTTCTTTTAGAAATGATAATTATAATAGCAGTAAAAATACAAAATATAAAACAATAAGAACAGTAAAATATTTGTGGCAAATTATTTCCATAAAGAGAATGTCTATGTAACTAAATTTCATTAAAGTACAAAAGCCTTAAATATTCTTGATGGACATATTTATAAAATATCTATAAGGCATAAAAAATAATTATGTAACCATGGTTTTAACATTTTCTTAGTGAATAACTATTTTGAGTTACAGAACACTGACGCTTCTTGGATTTATCCATCCATCCATCCATCCATCCATCCATCCATCCATCCAACAAATATTTATTGAGTACTACTGTGTCCCAGAACTGTAGAGATAGAGCACTGAACACAACATACAAAAAGTGCTGCCCTGGGGCCTCTGGGTGGCTCAGTTGGTTAAGCATCCAACTTTTGATTTTGGCTCAGGTCATGATCTCATGGGTTCATGGGATGGAGCCCTGCATCAGGCTCTGTGTTGACAGTGCAGAGCCTGCTTGGGATTCTCTCTTTCTCCTCCCTCTCTGCCCCTCCCCTGCTTGTGCTCTCTCTCTCTCAAAAGAAATAAATAAACTAAAAAAAAAAAAGTGCTGCCCTGATGGCACTCACATTCTAGCTGGTATGTTGGATGTTTCTCTCTATAACAAGAAGGCCCTGAGTGCCATGGTTTGGGTTATTTTGTCTCCTTCCTCTGCTGTCAGCTGTCACCTCTTGCTGGCAACATATCTCCTCCTGATCTGGGTCACCACTGCAGGTCTTTTCCTAAGCCTCTCATCAAACCAATAGGACCATATCCCTGGATGGAGCCCATGCAGCTCACTTTATGCCCGCACTAGATGGGCTGCTCCCTGCCCTCATCCCTACTCTGAGTTTGGAGTCTTCCCTTGTTTCCTTTTTTTATTAGTGTGATCAACTCTAATGATCTGATTCAATGATCAGGTCCCAAGGTCTCTGTGCCATTCTTCCATGAATGCATGCTCGTGTAAATGAAACTCTTAGAAGAGTAGCCATCATCAGTGTTATTACATACTAATATGTATTGGTACTGTACAAAACACTATCTTTCTTATGGTTGTGGTGGTTAACCCAATAATTCTCTGAACCTTCACAAAAACTTAAAAAGGCAGACATCATAGCTTTCAAAAGGGAGGAAAATCAGGTCTCCCACATTGCCCATGGCTGGTTAGAAGTGTGGGGAAAGGAACAAGAATTCTGGGCTGCCCTTAAGGGAATGGTGGTGACTGAGGTGAAAAAGAGTATCTAGGCACCTGGGTGGCTCAGTTGATAGAGTTGATAGTCAGAGGCACCTGACTCTTGATCTCAGGGTTGTGAGTTTGAGCCCCACTTTGGGTGTGGGGATTACTTAAAAATAAAATCTTAAAAAAAAAAGAAAGAAAAAGAATATCTAAGACTCATTCCCAGACTTATCCAGTGTTGGAACTGGAAGAAGGTCCCACTGAACAGAAGTGAACATGGTGGTTAAGAACTCCAGGTCCAGGGGCGCCTGGGTGGCTTAGTCGGTTGAGCGTCCGACTTTCGCTTAGGTCATGATCTCGCGGTTCGTGGGTTCGAGCCCCGCGTCGGGCTCTGTGCTGACTGCCAGCTCAGAGCCTGGAGCCTGTTTCAGTCTGTGACTCCCTCTCTCTCTGACCCTCCCCTGCTCACGCTGTCTCTCTCTCTCTCTCCTAGAAATAAATAAAACATTTAAAAAAAAAAAAAAAAAGAACTCCAGGTCCAGGGCCACATTGCCTGGATGTACCCCTTGCCATCATTTGATCTTGGCCTGTCTACTTAGCATCTCCATGCCTCAACTTACTCATCGGTAAAACGGTATGTACTTCACAGGATTATGAGATTCAAATGGATTGATATCGATAATATGCTTTGTATTGTGTCCGGTCCATAGTAAGCATTTGACAAATGTTAGCTATTATTGTCCTAATCTCTTCACTTATTTTTACAGATGAAAATACACAGATTTTAAGTGAATAGAAAGTTGGAGGAAAAACCAATGCCACATCCAGGTGTTCTGATTCTTACCATATTACACGAATTTTTTCCTTAATATCCCACTTACTTAACAAATGGAAAGAAATCAATAAATGATCATGAAGGGGCTGCTCAATTATATTTAAATCCTTTTCCCCTCTAAGACTGAAACATCCAAGCACATCTAGGCCCAGTTCTATTCCCTAATACCTAGTGGGCAGTAGTGATTCTACAGGGGCAAATGGCAAAGGATCAGACAGCTGTGTGAAGTTTAACATTATGTTCTGGCAAAGCACTCTTTGCTTCCTTACCTTAAACTTGTCAACTTCAGCTTTTGAACATGTTGCATGGTATGACAGCACCTGATTCAAAAGAAAAGGAAAAAAACCCTTTAATAATTAGACATGATTGTATTTTCTGAAATTCTCTTGGCTTAAAAAGAAATCCAGCTCATTATATAACCTTGATAATAGTGGATTTTTTAATTGAAGGATAATTGGCATACAATATCCTATTAATTTCAGGTATATATATCATTGTGATCTGATACTTTTATACATTACAACATGATCCTCATGATAAGTTTAGTTACCATCTGTTACCATATAGTTATTAAAATATTATTGACTGTATTTCCTACGCAGTACATTATATACCCAATGACTTATTCATTTTATAACTGGAAGTTTGTACCTCTTAATTCCCCTCACCTATTTCATCTCCTCCCACCTGCTCCTCCCCTTTCTACTAACAGTTTGTTTCTTAAATCTGTGAGTCTGTTTCTGTTTTGCTTCATTTGTTCTTTTGTTTTGTTTTTAGATTCCACATATGAGTGGAATCATACAGTATTTGCTTTCCTCTGACTTATCTCATTTAGCATAATACCTTCTAGATCCACCCATATGGTTGCAAATGGCAAGATTTCATTTTTCTTTGTAATGGCTGAGTACTACTCCATTATATATTTACATTGCTATTCAAATCTATTAATTCTGTTGTCTTAAAAAAAAAAAGAAAGAAAATCAACCAACCCTAGGATCTTAAAGTAGCTATTAAATAGGATTCTAACCATGTTGTAGTTAGTGCAGGTTGGTTTCCTTGATGAACTGGTACAGGCTAGAGCTAGGTATAAAAGTCTGTGAATGCTCTGAAAGAGTAACAAAGTGCACAGAGGGTGACTGCAGGGAGGTGCTGACTGCTCTCGAGAGCCTCAGCCCCAGCACCGTCTGGATGCAGGGCATACACACTGAGGTGGGTCTGGACCCAGCTGTGCTGTGGGGTAGCTATATATATATATATATCTCACATTTTCTTTATCCACTCATCTACTGATGGGCACTTAGGTTGCTTTCATATCTTGAGTATTTTAAATAATGCTGCAATAGAGGTGCCTAGCTGGCTCATTTGGTTAAGTATCTGACTCTTGATTTTGATTTGGCTCAGGTCATGATCCTATGGTTCATAGAATTGAGCCTTACAGTGAGTGCAGCACTGATAGCTTGGCGCCTGCTTGGGATTCTCTCTCTCCTCTCGCTTCTCCTCCCCTGCTCATGCACTTTCTCCCTCTCTCTCTCTCAAAATAAATAAATCAAAATAAAATAATAAATAACGCTACAATAAACATAGGGCTACACATATCTCTTTGAATTAACATTTTCATTTTCTTCAGATAAAAACACAGAGGTGGAATTGCTGGATAACACAGTAGTTTTATTTTTAATTTCTTGAGGAACTTCCATAATGTTTTCCATAGTAGCTGTACCAATCAATGTACATTCCCACCAAAGTGTAAAAGGGTTCTCTTTTCTCCACATCCTCACCAACACTTGTTACTTTTTGTTTTTTTTTTTTTTTTTTTGATAATAGGCAATCTGACTGGTTTGAGGTGATACCGTATTGTGGTTTTCATTTGCATTTCCCTGATGATGAGTGATGTTGAACATCTTCTAGTGTATCTATTGGTTGTCTGTAGGTTTTCTTCAGAAAAATGTCCAGTCAAGTCCTCTAGTTGTTTGTTTTTTTGATATTAAATGGTGTAAGTTCTTTATATATTTTGGATATTAACCCCTTATCAAATGTATGATTTGCAAATATCTTCTTCCATTCAGTAGGTGGTCTTTTTATTTTGTCTATGATTTCCTTTGCTGTGCAAAAGCTTTTTAGCTTGTTGTAGTCCTATTTGCTTATTTTAGCTTTTGTTGCCCTTGCCTGAGGAGACTGATCCAAAAAGAAATATTGCTAAGACTGATGTCAAAGAGCTTACTGCCTGTGTTTTCTTCTAGGAGTTTTATGGCTTCAGGTCACATTAAAATCTTTAATCCAATTTGAATTTATTTTTGTATATGGTGTAAGATAGTGGTCCAATTTCACTCTTTTGCATGTAGCTGTCCAGTTTTCCCAACATCATTTATTGAAGAGACTGTCTTTTCAAAACAGTGGGCTTTAATGTACAAGAAATCTCCAATAACTGCGCTCATAGCGGCATCTATTATAATGCTGAATGGAGCTGCAGCCCACATGGAAGGCTAAGTATTTCATACCAGGATGGTTGTATAGGTAGTTATTTTATCAAAGGGACATGAGGTAGCTCAAGGTCACAGTTCCCAGAGGACATGAATATTTGTCTTGTGAAACGCTCTGGAATGTAAATAAATAAAAAGGTTGTGGGTGGTGTGTGTGTCTGTGTGTGTGTTTGTGTGAACTGTGGCAAACACTGTAAGTTGCTAACTCAACTTCCATTTCTGGTCTATTCTCACTTGCCTGCTTTTATCATGTAGGAAAGACTATATTGATATACCCAACCATCTGCCATGTCTTTTGTAAGAGGATTATATTTCCCGGCCTTACTGACAACCTTAGTATATGACTGGCGTTAGCCAATACAGTGTGGGGGGACAGCGACAGATAGCATTCTTGAGCAGTCTTCAAGAGCCACACATAGTCCTGCCATCTGATGCCAAGAAGGGCTGCTCTCTCAGCCTGGACCCCAAAATGAAACAGGTACATTAGGAACAGCCACAGCCACCCCACAGCTGATGCCATGTCCTGTGAGTGTGAAATCAAGCTTTGTGGTTTATCACCACATTGTAACTTACTGATTCAGAGGTTTAAAAGTCAAAACTCCAATTCACAGCCTCCCTGTAGCTGGGGGAAGTCCTGTGGAGTGGATGTGTGATGCTCCTCTGGTCAGTGAAATTTAAGTGGGGGTGCTGGGGCTGCCTCTTGACCTTTTCTTCTGCTCTGAAAAACAGCTGTAAGGCTTGGACGTGTGGCAAAATCTGGTGTCAACTATGAATGACCGCTTGTTATGGCTGGTAGAGCAGAATGGGAAAGAGAAATGAGTCTGGTCCTGAACTGACCTGCCTCAGACTTTTTGTAATGCAAGACAAATAAACCCCCCCAACTTAAGTCAGTACTGGAATGTTATAAGGTGTATCTATATATGTCTCTATAGATCTACACACACACACACATACACACACACACACATAACTTGTGTGTTACATATTTTATGCTACCAATCCCATGCTTAATCTATACAAACTTCAAACAGATAAGTCTAGGAAATACTAAATCATTTCAACTACCAATCTTAGAGAACAGCATTGCACATTTGGTTCTGAAAAGTAAAGTAACACGTTTTCTCTTATTAAATGCAGCATTTTCCAAATCTAGCCACAGAACTCCCTTTTAGATTAATTAATACTATATATTAATCTAGTAATAGATTCCAACCAAATAGCCTATCGGCTAAAAACCTTGGGAAATGCTGATGCAAAATATACACCATCCGTGGAAACAGCAGCAGGGCCACAATGGCCTTCCCAGCTATGGGAGTTTGGGCAAGTATCTTAGTCTTTTTGTCAAATGGTATACTACTAACACTAAACAGGTATCTCCTGCTTAACATCAGTGAGCTATTCTTGAAAATCAGGCTTCACCTGAAAACGCCAACAGGGAGCCTATTTTCCATTCTTTTTAGTTGAAAAAATTATAATGCAATCTAAAATATGCAACGGCTTCCTGCAATTTAATGAAAACACAGTACAATTAATATGTATGTATGAAACAAGAAAATGTGAGGTTATAAATGGCTTCAAGTGTTTACTTTCTGATAATAACCAAAACAGTCTTAACAAAAAGTTGCTTTTATATTCGGTGGTATCTTCTCTCCCACCATAATCACCTTGATCACTCACTTTTTTTCCCATAGTTTTTTCAATGCCTTTCCATCTTTGGGAGGAGACTCACTGTCAAACACAACTAAGCAAAAGCCAGAGCTAAATGTTAGAGGCTTGGTGATGACACATCAGGAGAAGATGCATCTCAGCAGCAGCAATGACCAAGATGTACAGCGGCGTTGTTAAATTCTGCGTGGTTCTCAACATGTCAACACATGATTTGGATGTTCCTTAGACCAGTTCTACCTGGAATGTAAATCAAAATTGTTCCCACACCTCATTTTGTTTTTAAAAAAATTATACAGAGCTTTGTGGACAAAAGTGTTTTTTTCCCCCAGTATAAACAAAGGCACAAAAACGCTGTACTGAGAAAGAAATATGTTTTTGAGGTTTGGTTATAAAAAAAATCAAGAGAATTTCTACTGGGGAGATTCTGTAGTGTGGGCCTGTACTTCACACAGTTCTTGGGAAAGTTAAATGGGATAAAACGTGTCAAATACTTGGCACACAAAACATCTATTTATACTTCTTGTACTAATATTCAATTACAGTTCTGCCATATAAGTACTTGACAGAATATTGTGTCATCATATATTATTGTCATTGGCTTGTAATTATTTATAGGTATTTTCAATGCAAAAATAACTGAATAGGGGCACCCAGGTGGCTCAGTTGGTTAAGCGTCTCACTCTTGATATCAGCTCAGGTCATGATCTCACAGGTTCATGAGTCTGAGCCCCATTTCAGGCTCTCTGCTGTCAGTGTGGGGTCTGCTTCAGAACCTCTCTTCTCTCTCTTTATCCCTCACTCACTCTCTCTTTCTCTCAAAAACTAATAAACATTTATTTTTTAAAAATAATGGAATAGATTTTATTCTTTTGGTTCAGTTTTACTGTAGTAAATTTAATTTGGCTGTCATTTTATTAAAATTCCTTAGTACCTGGAAGTCTCTTTTTGCAGATTCAATCTTCAAATTTTATTAAAATTTTTGTATTTATAAAATTAATGTATTTAAATTCAAGTTAGTTAACATACAGTGTAGTATTGGTTTCAGGAGAAAAACCCAGTGACTCATTACTTACATATAACACCCCTTGCTCATCCCAACAAGTGCCCTCCTAACGCCCATCATCCATTTAGCCTATCTCTCCCCGCCCTCAGCCCCCTAGCAACCCTCAGTTTGTTCTTTGTATTTAAGAGTCTCTTAT